TATTCAATAACTATGTATGAAAGGTCTACTGTGTGCCAGAAACCAAGTTCGTCCTGAGGCTACAGAGCACACAAGGCAGGCAAGTCTACTCACTCAGTTTTTACAGCTGCCGTAATTTCAAATTACACCTGTGAGGAGTCTTCTAAAGTGCGTGCTAACCTGGCTCAGGGCCAACCGAGGAGGTGACATTTAGCTGGGACTTGAAATTGAGAGGTTAGGTCTGTGAAGGTGGGAGAGAGGAGTCCCAGGAAGGGAAACAGCATGTGGAAGATCCTAGCGGCAGATGAGAGCCTGGTGTGTTTGAGATGCTCTGAAGGCAATTCAGGGCAGCTGAGCAGAGAGCGGTGAGGACCGACTGCCGGCAAGGGATGAGGCTGACCTGTTAGGCAAGGAGGGTCATGAATGCCCCCGTTGAGGCGTTGAACTTCATCCTGAGGGCAATGGGAAACCATCAAAACGTCTTAAGTGGGAGGGTAGCAGGCACCTGGGTGGCTCAGTTGGTTAAGCGACTGCCTTCAGCTCAGGTTATGATCCTGGAGTCCCGGGATTGAGCCCCACATCGGGCTCCCCGCTCAGCGGGGAGTCTGCTTGACCCTTTTCCCTCTTGTGCTCTGTCTCTCATTCTCTCTCTCTCAAATAAATAAATAAATAAAATCTTTAAAAAAAAAGCGGGAGGGTGGCATGTTCCAATTTTGGGTTTAGAAAGTTCCCTCTGGCAGCAGGAAGAGGAGGGTCCATTCAAAGTCTACCGCAGCTGTCTAGGAGAAAGGAGAGTGGCTTATACCATGGTTGTGACGGTGGGAAGGACACAAAGGGTGGGCCAGACAGACCTTTTGGAAGTGATCTGAGAGAACTCCCTGATGAGGATGTGAAGAGCATGTCAAAAGTGATGACCAGGTTTGGGACCTGAGCCACTGGCTGGTGGCACTGGAGGTGCTTCTCCTCTCCCTAGGAGCGAACACAGGATGAAGAGGAGTTCGTGGAGAAGATGATTCCGTTTGATTCACATTGAGTTTGAGATGTGGGACATGGGCCTGAGTAGGAGGTTGGGCACAGAAGTCTGGAGGTCAAGAGAACACAGAACAAATGATATGGCTTTGGGAGGTGGTGGAGACTGAGGCCATGGGAATGGATGGATTTGCTCAGGAGGAGTGCATGGCAGGGGGGGCGGGTAGAGGGGCCAAGACCGAGTCCTGAGGAACGTCGTCTCAAAGGGAGGGCAGTGAGGGGCGCCTGGGTGGCTCAGTCGTTAAGCGTCTGCCTTCGGCTCAGGTCATGATCCCGGGGTCCTGGGATCGAGTCCCGCATCGCAGGGAGCCCGCTTCTCCCTCTCCCACTCCCCCTGCTTGTGTTCCTGCTCTCGCTATCTCTCTCTGTCAAATAAATACATAAAATCTTAAAAAAAAAAAAAAAAAGGGAGGGCAGTGGGAGAGAGGGGACAGAGAAAGGCTGGTCAGAGACACCTGAAAAACAGGTGTGGTGTCCTATAGGCCAAGAAGAGTATTGCAAAGAGGGAGTAGAGTGGGTATGCTGAACACTGCTAAGAGGCTTGGCAAGATAAAGACTGAAAAATATCCATTGGACTTACGATTTATGGACAAGGTCATTGATGACCCTGATTAAAGCCATTTTGAGGGGCGCCTGGGTGGCTCAATCAGTTAAGCGTCTGACGCTGGGTTTTGGCTCAGGTCATGATCTCGGCACTGTTGGATCAACTCCTGGGTCGGGCTCCTGCTCAGCGCAGAGTCTGCTGGTCCCTCTCCTTCTGCTCCCCCGACCCCCAGCTTGCTCTCTCTCTCTCTCAAATAAATAAATAAATAAAATCTTTAAAAAAAAAGCCATTTTTTTGGGGGGGTGCCTGGGTGGCTCATTCGTTAAGCGTCTGCCTTTGGCTCAGGTCGTTGTTCCCAGGGTCCTGGAATCGAGTCCCACATCGGGCTCCGCGGGAAGCCTGCTTCTCCCTCTCCCACTCCCCCCTGCTTGTGTTCCCTCTCTCGCTGTGTCTCTCTCTGTCAAATAAATAAATAAAATATTTTAAAAAAATAAAAATTTTAAAAAATTTTAAAAAGCCATTTTTGAATGAGTTGAAGAGAAGAAATAAACGTAAGTGTGGGCAACTCATCACAAAATTTGATTTTGAGAAGGGGGGAGAGCCAAATGAACAGTACTGAGACAGGAAATGGGGGGGACTCAGGTGGGAATATTTTTAAGATGAGAGAGACTAGATATTTTTTAAATTTATTTTTTAGTAATCTCTATACTCAACATGGGGCTTGAACCCACAACCCTGAGGTCAAAGGTCACACACTCCTCCCACTGAGCCAGCCAGGCACTCTGAAACTGGAGGATATTTTAGACACCCAGCCTTGGGTCTACAACAGGGAATAGTTTCAGCACCCACAGTGGGAAACTTATGAATTCACCCTGATGGTCCATTCGGGTTGGCTGCCCACAGTGACAGCTCTGTTTTCTGCATTCACATTGCTTCTACTCAGTGTTTCCAAGTAAGCTAGGACCTCCTTCTCTCAGAACCTCATGCACGGAGGGCTGGTTACCTGGGCAGCCTCTAAAGTCCTCATGGGAACTCAGTTTGTCTGTTGGGTGGACAAAGCGGACTCCTTTTCCAGTGGGTCAAGACACACGAAAGTAGGGATGCTTTCTTGGCAGAGTGACCCACACTGCCCCCAGGCCCAGGGTGTAGCTAGGGAAAGTGAGGACTTAGAGAAATCCAGAAAACAAAGAAATTGATCCTCCTTTTGTTTTTCGAAAGCTGTGTTTTGGCAGAAGACAAAAGATGTAGAAGATTATGTGGACAGTAAAGCCTGTGTTCCGTGCCCTGAGCACAGGTTTCTCAGGATTGATAGAGAGGAAAGTCAGAGAAGAAGGTAGTGAGTTTAGAGGCATGTGCGTTACTGAGAAGAAAGGAAGCCCAAGGGCTGCTGGCCCCAAATGGCCCAAGGTAGATGCCAGAGCTCAAAGGAAGCCCTGACATGGCTGGGATGCAGAAGAGCAGACATCACCGAGTGTGGTGTTTGGTGAGCCTTGGGCAGCTCCTCCAAATGACTCCAGCTGCAGAGGAGGAGCCCCCACGTCGTCCACTTCGAAGTTAGATATAACGCCAAGTTCCTCATTTATACAATGGGAACAATAAACCCTACTGTAAGGGTGGCCCTAAGAATTAAATAAAAGCAGATAGATGAAAGCCCTTTCAAACGGTCAAACATTAAACAGACATAAAGGATCATCACGGAGCTTTTAAAAAATTATATGCACATGTGCTGTTCAACCGAGCAAAGGGGAGCATGTGCTTCCGAGCTGCTTCCCAAACTTTAATTGTTCCGCAGAAAGGGATACACTGGGGATGGCCACGTTGGCTCTAACACATTCACTCCCCTCCGCCACAGGTGTTGTTAGGCTTGTGATGGTTTTCTTCTCTGCCACAATGTGCGTGTGCACATTATGATATCTACATGGATATATTTACCCACTGATAGCCTGGTACTCATAATTAATACCAAGACAATGGGGAGGGGTGTTTCTGTGGAGAGCAAGGCTCAATTAAGAAATTTTGTGGGTTTAAACATTAAAGATTATGGTGATCACCACTGCCCCCTTATTAACAAGTAGAGGAAATATGAAATTATAAAATAGGACCAAAATAAGTTCTAACTCTTCCCATTATAATTATATTGGTACTTTTTCAAAAGGTCCAGTTCTTTAAAAAGTTATTTTTTGAGATATAACTTACACATAATATTAATTTCAGATGTACAACATAATGATTTATGTGTATATTGTGAAATGATCACATCTAGTTAACATCCATCAAGACATATAGTTACAATTTTTTTCTTTTAAGGAGAATTTTTAAGATCTACTCTCTTAGCAACTTTCACATATATAATATAGTATTATTAACCATAGTCACCATTACATCACCATGACTTCTTTATTTTATAACTGGAAGTTTATACCTTTTGACCACCTTAAAAAGTTTTGTTTTGGTTTAGATCCTTGCCAGTACAGAAGCCTGTGCTTACTAAGCTAAGTCAGCCCCAGGCTAGTAAGCCGGAAACCCAAAAAGGCTAGGTTGGGTTAGGCAGAAGCCTGGGCCTCAGGTGACCCTCCAACCCTGACTATCAACACACAGGGAGATATGCATGACTGAGTGAACCCAAAACATTAAGGTAGCAGCAGATCAAAAGCAATTCTCCTAGAATGAGTCTATTCCAACATCTCAAGATGATCTCAGGACAAGCACAGAGGAGCCTGAGCGGCGAGGAGGGTCCAGTGTCCCAAGAGAGGCAGCAGCAGACCGGGAAAACGGCAAACAGACCTGCACTTGGCCGCTAGAGACGACTCCGGCCAGGTCCCAGGAACTCACCTAGGAGGCGTGGCTGGAGAGGGGCGGGGAGTCAGAGAGGGAGAGGGCGGGGCTATTGCCGTATTACAATTAGAAGAGGAGAGGGACCAGATCCAGAGGGAGGAGCAGGGCCAGTCGGAAAGAGAAACGAAGGGGAGGGCGCAATCCTACCGGTCGGGCCAGAAAGAGGGCGGAACCAGAGCAGGGGAGAATTCGGGGCAGAGATGGGGTTGAAGGCCGGGAAGGCGGACGAGGCTGTGCGGCTACCTGCTCAGTAACCCGGCCAGGCCAAGACCCAGAAGGCGGGGCCATGGCTCAAGAGGCGGAGCAGAGGCGTGCGCAAGCCCGGAGATCAGGACTGGGGCGGAGTCAAGACTCAGGGGGCGGGATCAAGTCCAGAGGGCGGGGTGTGGGCGGAGCAAGGGTACGGGGGCGAGCCCAAGCCCGGAGGGCAGGACAGGGGAGGAGTCAAGACGCAGGGGCGGGTCCAAGCCCAGAGGGCGGGGGTGTGGGCGGGGAAACGGGCGGGGGTGTGGGCGGGGAAACGAGCGGGGGCAAGTCCGGAGGCGGAGCTGGGGCGGGTCCAAGCCCGGAAGATGGAGCCTAGGCAGGAGCCGAGTCTGGCCAGTGACGAACTTCAGACGATGTACGGCTGCAGGCCTGGCAGGTGCAGGGCCAGGGCGAGCAGCCCGAGCAGCAGCAGCAGCCCGAGCAGCAGCCGTAGGAGCGTCCGCGCCGAACAGCCGCAGGGCCGCTGGCTCGTGGACCGCACGTATTGTTCCACGACGTCGGCGAAGCGGAACTTGTCTGGCGCGTAGCCCAGCTGCGCGCGGGCCTTGGCGATCTGGAAGGTGTGCGTCACGGCCACGCTGCGCACCTGCGGGGAGAGAGGCGGGGCTGCCGAGGGGCGGGGCTCTGCGAGTGGGAAGCACACTCCACCTTGTTTTACCGAAAAGGAAAAGAGCGCAGAGGTTTCCCTCTGCCGCATGGCAGTTTTCAGAGAATCCGTGAGCTGGATCTTGCTCCTGCGATGCCCTCCTCAGGGAAGATTTCCTTTTTTCCCTCCCATCTCCATTTTCTTCGAGGGCGCTTCCTCCAGGAGGCCTCTTCTGCATCTCCCCCAGCCTAACTGAACTTCTCAGTCCCCCAAAAGTGAAGGTCCCACCTCTGCACTTTCCCTTCCCCGGCCTAGCACGGTGCTGGGACTCAGCCGGCACTTGCACATTCTTGGGTATGCACTAGGAGAAGCTGACCAACCTGTCTGTGGCCTGGGTCCTCTCCAGAAAAATAACCCCAGGAAATGCTCTAGACTTCTCTGGCCACAGCCCCAGGGCGCAGCCTTCTTGCGCCCTCCCTGGTTAAGCTTACCAAAGAGAGGAATTCAATTATACAGAAGCGATTACTCTCCAGGCTCTGGGCTGCGTTTCTTCCCACTGCTGGGGCCCATAGGTTTCCAGGGCCGAACAGATAGCTGTCAATAACTGAACAGGCACTGTGCTTGGCCTGGGCTAAATCCTTTCTAGGCCTTATTTAATCCCCTGAGATGGTACTACCACCATCTCCTCCTTACATATTTGCTTTTTTTTCTCTTTGCATATTTGAAAATTAAGAACAGAGGTTAAGTGACTTGCCCATCCTGTTCCCTGCTATGTTGGGACTGGGAGGATGCCCTCCGACCTCATTTCTTCCTCTATTGTTCCTCAGCTGGACCCTGGGAAGGGGTTGGCGAGAGCTGCTGGATTCTCCCATGGCAATGAAACAGCCCCTCTGGCCAAAATGCTGTTTTTTTGTTTTTTGTTTTTTTTTTTAAGATTTATTTATCCATTTGACAGAGAGAGACAGCGAGAGGGGAACACAAGCAGGGGGAGAAGCAGGCTTCCCGCAGAGTAGGGAACCCGATGCGGGGCTTGATCCCAGGAGCCTGGGATCATGACCTGAGCCGAAGGCAGAAGCCTAACGACTGACCCACCCAGGTGCCCCTAAGCTGCTCGTCTTGTATGCTTGTGGGGGAGAGGGCAATCTTGTCCCTTTTTGCCCCAGGTAGTAAGTTCAGGACCTTGGGGGATACAGCTGGGAACGAGATCAGCAGGGTCCTGGACACAATGCTCTCAGGCTTAGATGTCACCTTCCTTTGGGGAGTCCCCTTAACTTCCGCAGAACTGGCTTAGGTGCCCCTTCTGTGTGCTCTGAAGTTCCTCATAGTTTCCTCCAGTATAACTCTTTTTATTAAATTTTATTTATTTGAGAGAGAAAGAATGAGAGACAGAGAGCACGAGAGGGAAGAGGGTCAGAGGGAGAAGCAGACCCCCCGCTGAGCAGGGAGCCCGATGCGGGACTCGATCCCAGGACTCCAGGATCATGACCTGAGCCGAAGGCATTCGCTCAACCAACTGAGCCACCCAGGCGCCCACCTCCAGTATAACTCTTATCACAGTGTGCTGAGTTGCCTGGTTATGGAGCTGTCTTTCCCTTTGGACTGTGAGCCCCTTGAGGCAAGGGCTATGTCTTGTCTCCACTACTTAGCACAATGCCTGGCACACAGTGGGTGCTCAAAAATGTTCAATGAATCAGACAAACTGGAGGGCTGGTTGGTATATCACAGACTGACCAGCAGAGAGCACCCGAGCCACAGCGCCCAGAAACCTCCCTAGCTGAGTGGGGATCCTTTACTCCTCGCTGAACTGGGAAACCTGTAAGTGAAACCAGAGAGGGGGGGGCGGGGGGTGTTAATTCCCACCCAACCACAATTCAGCAGCACTTCGGCAGCTAATTTACATGGTTGTGATTCCTGAGTCATTTCACAAGTTGATGGTTAAGCTTGAAATCATTTAGGTCTGGTCTGGGTTTGAGTGTCAGCTCTGCTACTTAAGTGAATACTCATGGGTTGGTTATTTCAGCCCTGTGTGTCTCATTTCCTCTGGAAATGGAAATAACAATCTACAATTTAGTAGTGAAAATGAAATGGCATACCCATCACTCAATAGATGGCTACTCTTGTCATTCCCTTTCCTCTGGGAGTCTGGATGGCCCAAAGGAGAAACCACAGGGAAGTGCTTCTTTTTGTGGCCCATGCTCTCTGAGTCAGACAGCACTGAGCTTGAGTATGAAGCCAATGTCAGAACCATGTGGCCTTGGACAAGTCACTAACTTCTCTAGTGCTGTTTATCATAAAACATGATCATAATCTCTTGCCCTTCTTAACTTAGCAGGACATCAGAGAGAATCAGATGAGAGTGTGAACTAGGAGGATTTTGCAAGTAATGCCAAACACTTTATAATCTTCATTAAAACATCCTCTCTTTTAGGGGCGCCTGGTGGCTCAGCTGGTTAAGGTTCGACTCTTGATTTTGGCTCAGGTCATGATCTCAGGGGTCACGATTCCAGGGTCATAAGGTTGAGCCCTGAGTAGGGCTCCGTGCTCAGTGCTGAGTCGGCTTGAGAGTCTCTCTCCCTTTCCCTCTGCCCCTCCCCCCACTTGCACGCGCTCTCTCTAAATAAATACATGGCTCACTTGGTTAAGCGTCTGCCCTCGGCTCAGGTTGTGATCCCAGGGTCCTGGGATGGAGTTCTGCATTGGGCTCCTCGCTCAGCGGGGAGCCTGCTTCTCCCGCTGCCTCTCCCCCTGCTTGTGCTTTCTGACAAATAAAATGTTTTTTAAAAGTCCTCTTTTAAAAACTATATGTGCTAATAGAAAACTGCATCATCAGCATTTGAGAATAGTATTCTGGACACAGTAGGCACTTAATATATACTTATTATTCAGTAAGCGTTGTGCACCTAGAGCCACCAGGCTCCATGTGCACGTCGTCTTGAGCGTTGGTGGCACCGGTGGGTGGTATTTAAAAACGTGAATGTTACGGAACCTGCCTTTGGGAGCCTCCAGTCTGGCAGCAAAGATACGCTGCTTAAGGACAAAATGGCAGGGATGAGTGACAGGCTCCAGGCTCATCACATTTCAGACCAAGAGAGCACAGCCTAAGAAAAAGCCCAGAGGTTGGGATGACTCTAAAGAAGCTAGTGCTAGATTTGGGCCCACCTGCAAGGTTCTGAGACCTCAGACAAGCATCCCATTATGGCATCAAAGGGGTGAGGGGTGGGGCCAGTGGGGGTGTAGAACAGGAACCACCCCAGAAGCAGCCCCCTTACCTCGCTCCGGGTGAGCAGCGGGGGGACGCCGTAGATGGGCCTCAGGGCCAGGTGCAAATACTCCAGCACTGCGGCTGTGCGGGGAGACAGGGGCCAATGACCAGGGCGCCTCCCTCTGTGCAAGCTCTGGGGAGGCCCTCGGGACAAATCAGTTGGGGGCATTATTTGCTTTGCTGGGGGGGGGGGCGCATCTCTTCACTTTGCCAAATTCCCCTGTCCTTGAATTCCTTTAAATCAGCAGCTCTCAGCACACGCCGGGGTGCCTTGTTTGGCTGTGAAATGTGTCACAAGTAAGTTGTCATTAATATGAAAGGAGTGGCGTTTGAAAATAAAGCAGAGCAGATTCACAGCTCAAATCATGCCTCCTCCTTTCACTCACTTCTATTCCAGTGTGGTCTCTTGAGGAGGAGAGAGAGAAGTTGGAGCAGAGGTTCTCAATCTGGATGGCACACTGGACCACTTTTTAAAATGCTCATGCTCCCGGGGCACCTGTGTGGCTCAGTTGGTTAAGCGACTGCCTTCGGCTCAGGTCATGATCCTGGAGTCCCGGGATTGAGTCCCACATCGGGCTCCCTGCTCAGCAGGGAGTCTGCTTCTCCCTCTGACCCTCTTCCCTCTCGTGCTCTCTCTCTCTTATTCTCTCTCTCTCAAATAAATAAATAAAATCCTTAAAAATAAATAAATAAAATAAAATGCTCATGCTCCCCCCGCCCCTTTCCTCTTGCTGCTGCTGATGTAGTGGGTCTGGGGATCCACTGAGGCATTTTGATATTTTATAAGCTCCCCGGTGATTCAGATGTGCAGCCAGAGTTACGAGCTTGGGGGTGATAGTTAGCTCAAGAGGAACTGGAAATGTATATACAATCCTGTAAAACTACCAGAACCCATGGCTGATCTTTTCCCACCTGTGGGTCAAAGAGCCTCAATCACTGTGGCAACGCTGGACATGAGAAGTCACCCTGCATGTGTGGCCTGGTGGGCAAAAGTTGGCAGATCCCTGCTTTAAATGGCAAGCATCCCAGTGCATTTAAAATAGAACAGATCTATAGCTAAGGTCTTCCAGGAACGCAGCTGTTTGTGACTTGAGGGTCATTGTCCCCTCGGGCTGACCATGCTGTGCCTGGTGCTTGCTCTGCGTTCCAGCTGGAAGGAGGCCAGCAGAGGTGGTGATGGGGGGCGGGGTGGTGAGAGTTAGAGGCTGACCTGAAGGGTGAGGAGGAAACTTCACATACCCCAAAAACAGCCTTGACTTTGGGGTGACCTCAGGGGAGAAGGCGGCCCCAGGGCTCCCTCTCTGCCTGACTGGCATGATGCCTTCCACCACAGGCCACGGGGCTGGCCAAGCCCAGGTGTGAATTCTGCCTGTCCCACTTTCTCACTGTGGCCCAATCACACCCACCTTGCAGGTAGGACAGGGTTTATACTGGGCTAGGATGAGGGTGAGGAGGCTGCCGGGCAAGGGCCGATCGGGCTTGGAGCACCTGCCCACGAGAGTGATGGTCTCCTGAGATTTTGCGCCCTCAGTGCCTCATTCACCTCCACCTAGTCCTGGCTCTGGGTCTGAAATGAGGTGATGCATATGTACCTGGCTCATGGAGGGATTTTACTACACACACTCTTTTCCTTACCTGTTAGGTAAACCCAGGAAGTAGGCACCTGGATCCAGGGCTGACTGTACCCTAGCTTCTCAAACTGCAAGGAAACATGGCCCGAGATGAGAACAGGTCTTCCGGGGGCTGGTGTGGAAAGGCCACATGTTCTCTTTACCCTGGGGGTGAGCAGAGGTACCACCTGGCCACCCAAGGGGGAAAAAACCCCACAGCCAGCCCCAACCCTGTACCAGTCTTGAAATGGAAAGCTTTGATCTAGAAAAGTCAAGTTGGACTTAAATGCATGGGTCGGTTTTTAACCTGGGATCATTTACATCATTTAGTGACTCCTGACATCTGCCTACAGCCAAAGGCATTGGCACAGTGCAGCAGTTCCTCAAAAATTTATTTTTTTATTTTTATTTTTTAAAGATTTTATTTATTTATTTGACAGAGAGAGACACAGCGAGAGCAGGAACACAAGCGGGGGAGTGGGAGAGGGAAAAGCAGGCTTCCTGCTAAGCAGGGAGCCCGATGTGGGACTCGATCCCAGGACCCTGGGATCATGACCTGAGCCGAAGGCAGACGCTTAACGACTGAGCCACCCGGGCGCCCAGCAGTTCCTCAACAATTTAAACGGGGGCGCCCGGGTGGCTCAGTCGTTAAGCGTCTGCCTTCGGCTCAGGTCATGATCCCAGGGTCCTGGGATGGAGCTCCTCTGCAGGGAGCCTGCTTCTCCCTCTCCCACTCCCCCTGCTTGTGTTCCCTCTCTCGCTGTGTCTCTCTCTCTCTGCCAAATAAATAAATAAAATGTTAAAAAAAAATTTAAACAGAGAGCTTCCACCGGACCCGGCAGTACCACCCCGGGGCACACACCCAAGGGAAATGAAAACGTATGTACACAAAATATGTATACACTAATGTTCACAGTGGCATTTTCATAGTAGCCCCAAAGTAGAAAAACCCCTATTTCTATCAACTGATGAAAAGATTAACAAGATGTGGTATATCCCTAGAAGGGAATATTTTTTGGCAATAGAACGGAATGAATACTGATAGGATGCAGGCTACACATGGATGCACTTTGAAGGCATGAGGTCAAATGAAAGAAGCCTAACAGAAACGTTCACATATTCTATGATCTCACTTACAGGACATGTCCAAAGAGGCAAGTCTACAAAAACAGGGAGTGGACTAGGAGTTGTATGGAGCTAGGGGTGGGGTTCGGGTAAAGGCATAATTTGGGGGGTGGGTTTTGGAGGATGAGGAAATGTTCTAAAATTGATTATGGTGATGGTTGCACAACTCTGAATATATGAAAAGCCATCGAATTATGTGCTTTAAATAGGTGAATCGTACAGTATATGAATAATATCTCAATAAAGCTGTTGACATTGATGTGCCCGAATGCCACAGGATGGATCCTCCAGCGCAGGGCTGCTGGTCGACCCCTTCCAGGCAGCCCTGGCCCCAAGAAGGGGTCTGTAGGGTACTGGATGAGGAGGCCAGGGTTCTCCGAAGGGCGGCAGCATAGGAAGCCCCAGGGCCAACACCTCCCTCTGTGCTTCAGTCTACCTTCTACTTACCCCTTGTGGAGCTTTGTCATACTGTATGGGGGCGTCACAAGCAAACATGCACAGGGCAAGTCAACATAAATCAGGAGTCAGGCTGGGAGGGACTATGGCAACCCAGGCGAGTACATGGCCCCCCAAAGGGGCAGCCACACCCAGCTCTAGCCAGTTCCAGTGTTGCCCAGTGGACACTATCACCAGAGCTGGTTTTTAATGTGAAAGCTTCTCATTTTCTGGATGGAGGAAAGGATGACGAGAGAAGATGTGCAGAATCCCTGAATCCTCACTCGGGGTGGGGGTGGGTGATGTCTGGACACCTACCAGCGGGGCCATCCATTCGAAGAGGTTGACACTCTCCCCATCATTGATGTAGTATGCCTGGCCACTCTGAGGGGACACACAGGGAAGGGGACAGTGAGGCATCTGCCCCCCAGCCTGACCCCACCCTTTCAGATGGCTCGGCAGCTGCCCCATCTCCCCAATTCTCCTGAGCAGCCACTGAGGAGTCATGGCCATTCCCCAGCCCTGAGGACAGACCTGGGCAATTCCCTTTGAATTCTGAGACTGCCACCCTGACTAGCTGTGTGACCTCAATAGAGTCACTTAACCTCTCTGTACCTCAGTTCCTTCATCTGAGAAATGGGAAGAAAATAACAGGTTCTCCCTCTTGGACTGTTGTGAAGATTACATGGGATGGTGTATATAAAATGCTTACCATTCAGTGACCATGACTTCAGGACCAACAACACCTACATCACAGGGTCACTGCAAGGAGCTAATGATGCTCTATAAAGACCCCCTCACCCCGAGCTTCCCTGAACCTACGGTCCCACCGACCATCTTGAGTTGGGGAGAAATGTGTGTGAGCCAGCAGTCCCCTAGGGGATGGGGTGCCCTGTCTGCAGCCAGCTGGGGGGGGGAAGGTGGGGACAGCACTGCAGGAGACTCACGGCCACGTAGCCCTTGGCCGCGGTGAGGGCCTCAGCCGCCAGCACGTGTGCCTGCACCAGATTGTGCACGTGGACCCAGTTCATCCGCGTCCTGCGGTTCCCAAATCGGAACATGAATAGCCTCTTCTTGATGTGGCTCTGGAGGCGGGTGATAAACACAGACTCAAGCCTGGAGTGGCTTTGAATACCATTTATATGATGATGGCTCCCACATTTCTAGCTCCAGGCCAGACCCTTCTGCCCCAGACCCACGTCCCGACGTCTCCATGTGGTGGCCACTTGTCCATGTCCTGGAGCGAGTGCCTGACCTTCCAGCTTCTGATCAAGTCCCCCCCGCCCCCCATCTCACTAGACAGCACTCTGCAGCTCAGGCTGAAACCCTGGGGCCTCCGTTGACCTTCCCTTCTCTCCATTCCACGTCCAACTCATCTGCAAATCCAGTTGGCTCAACTATTACACTCTGTCCAGAATCCCCCTGCTTCTCACCGCCCCAGCTGCTGCCCCTCTTTTCTACCTGGAGACCAAAAGAGCCTCTGAACTGGTCCCCACTTCCACCCACGGTCCCTGCGGTTGTTCTCCACACAGCCAGGGGGATCCCCCTGAATCTTAGATCCTGTGTCTCCCTGCTCAGAATCTTCTGGACGCCCACGCTGCCAAAAGAAGTCTCAACAACAGCCGAGGGGGCCCTTCTGCTCTAGCCCAGCTACCCTCCGACTGTCTGCTATGAACTTCCTTGCCCACTCAGCTCCAGACACACGGGCTCCCCCCAGCGTGTGCGGCAGGCTCCCATCTCAGGGCTTCGGACTTCCCTCTGCCTGGAAGGCTATCCCTCCAACCTGGTGTGATGCACACTGCCACCAGCTTGATGAGGCTCCCCGGCTGCCTGGGCGCCCAGCTCCCACACCCTGCTCCCCCTTTCCATTATTTTTCCAACGCACCTTGCACCTTCAAACACCCCTTATCATGTATCATGTTTATTACCCATCTCCTGTGAGAATATAAGCCCCACAAGGGCAGGAATCATCTGTTTTGCTCACTGATCTGTCGCAAAGCCCAGAGCAGCGCTGTTTCTCATTCCGGGTTTGTACCCAAGCTGCCTGCCACGTTTGGACCGCCTTCCCTCTCCCACCCCATTTCCTTGGTTCATTCTTTCTTCCCTTTCCGAACAGCACAGGCATCATCCTGGACTTCCTCTGCCAGGCTCCCTCTGTGTGCTCCCGTATTCTCGTTCTTCCCTCCACGTAGCCCTGGCCACACTGGTTCTGTGACGGTGCCGCCTGTCTCCCGACCAGGCTGTGAGCAATCTGAGGACAAGGCCTACAGTCCCTCATAGCTCTATTGCTGGCACCTGACTCTCCCTGGAGAGGGGCTTCCTATACGAAGACCCTTGTGCCGGCAGCATGGGATGAGCCATCTGGCCACCAGGAGCCCACATCTGAGTAGGGACAACAGGCTCCCTCTGCCTCTTTGGGGTCATAGCTCCAGGACTCCTCAACCTGTACCTAACCCTGGCAGGCACACACTGAGACCTTTGTTCCTGGTGGGTCTGCTAGGGGTAGGGACAGCTCCCAGAACTAAGAGCCCCAGGCTCAGGATGTTGCCCCAAGACCAACACAGTGACTGTGGACTAGAAGGGCCCCAATCCATGCACACAGCAGCCAGACTCATCCTGAGTCTCAGGCCCGGGGCCGGGCTGACATACCGCCACGCGGGGCAGGTGCCTCTGCTCTTCAGGGCCATAGATCCCTGGGGGCCGGAGCACACACGTCCGCAGAGTGCCTCCTCCTAGGACACAAGGAGGGTGGTCAGGGGCCTGGGGAGGGGTGGCACAGCAGGGAGAGACACACAGAAATGCTGTCCACACCTTCCGGTCCTTGCCTGGATAGGTTAGCAGGGAAGACAGGCCCTTGGGGTTTCCTTATTCAATTATTCTCAATCTGTTAGTCATTTAACAAACAACATTCAGACGTTGCCCAACCTCTACCCCCAGCACTGGGCCCCGGGAATCCAAGGATAACCAAGAGGAGAATCCAAGGGTAACCAAGAAATGGTCCCTGCTCTCATGATGCTCACAGGCCAGTAACCAGTGGTAAGACCTGGATGCAGATATGTACGCGGCCCATGAGTTTACCCTGCACTCGATAGATGTAATTTCCTTTGACTCCCCTGAGAGTCAACTGAGCCCATTCTACAGTGTACACCATCTTCCTTTGGGGGCCCCTCCCCCTCTGCATAAGGTCTTAGGGGGCTGTCAGTCTGGATGCGCCAGATGCCTCACTGTCTCCTGAGGTGGTGGCCATGGGACCCAAGCCGGGTCCATGACATATTCTCACCCAAGAACGTGACTCTCAGCATCACCGACACCAGGATCTAAAATCCTACGAGTGGGTTCACCCTGAAAAGACTGGTCACCAGCTCTTGCCACCCAGTCCCTGGAGCTTCCCCAACCCTATCCTTTCCAAGCCCTGGTAGTCATTTTTCTGGAAATATATTTTCCAGAAACGATCCCACAGCCTTCCACTATAAGTTCCTTTTCCCCGCAACTTAGCCAGGGCTGGTGTCTTGGGTCATAGCCAAACACCCTGACTGCTTCCCCACCAACAGCCTCACTTTACCATGAGGCCAGTACAATGGGTTGAGTGGTGGCCCCCGAAAAGATATGTCCACATCCTGCAACCTGTGGATATGACTGGATTTGGAAGAGTGTCTTTGCAGACATAATTAAGGATCTCAAAATGAGATCATCTTTGATTATCCGGTGAGCCCCAAATTCAACGTGAGTCCTTATAAGGGACTCACAGAGAAGAGACATGTGGACCCCAAGGAATGAGTGGGGCCACCATAAACTGCTGAGACAAGGACGTTCTCCCCTAGAGCCTTTGGAGGGAGTGCAGCCCAACTTGGTCTCACACACCCGACTGTGAATTGTGAGAACCATGAGCGAAGACATTTCAGTTTTAAGCCACCAAGTTTGCCGTCCATTGTCCCGTTTGTACTGAGCTGAGATCTGCAGTCTTGGGGCTCTGTTTCAGAGACCGGGGCCCTCCATGCTGGGTTAGAGGCAGAGTCTCAGGGACCAGCTTGTGTTAGCAGGGACTGGAAATCACCCAGGGTGACCATGGCTGGACTCCTGGAAGGCAGGTATCAGGTGAGCTTTTCTGTAAACAGTCTGCAGCTAATTTTAAACTCTGGGTCACCTGGGCATGGTTGGGGGGAGGTCTGGTTGCAGTTGACATTGGCTGGCGGGGCGCTGGGCAGCTATGTCACAGAGGGGTGGAGCCCAGGGTATCCATGACTCCTGACCACGGAAAGCTGGGGATGCTCATATAAATAATTCTTGGCCAAAGGATTAAGTGTCTGGTTTGCAGGCTGCTGGCCCCAGGCAGAGAAAAGAAGTCAACCACCCAGGGTCAAACCCCTGGGAAAACACAGCTGGATATGTGTTCCCACTGGGATCAGTGGGCAAGGCCTGATAGGTCCAGGGTGCCAGGGTAGGTTGGGGAGGATTTTAGGGAAAAGAACCCATGCTCAATGGCCTGCTCAGTTGTGGCTACAGTGAAGCATGATGGTTCAGATCCAGGCTCCAGGCTCTGGTGTTAGACCCCCCTGGTGTGGGGGTGGGGGGGTTCAAATCCCACCTCTGCCACCTAATAGCTATGTGACCTTAACGAAATCAGTTCACCCCTCAGCCTCAGCCTCTTCCCCCGTAAATCCACGGATTATAGTTGCAAGCATCCCTCACTCTCCAAATCAATCTGGCTCCTGAGTTTGGAAAGCAGGGGATCCCTCAGGTTCTTAGCTCACATGGATACTGTAAAGAGTTACTGAGAACCTTGCATATAAAATTAGCATGTAAAATAGGGCTAGGCATATAGTAAGTGCTCGGTAAATGCACACCGTCCATATTCTTTTTCCTTCCCTTTTAAACAGGCAACTGCCTGTTATTATTTTATTCTCATAAAAGCTCTTCGAGGTAGATTCCACTATCATCCTCATTTTGTTACAGATGAGGAACCTGAGGCATGGAAAAAAGGATATTGCCCAAGATCACATCACAAAGCCAAGAGGTGGTGGTGTCTGGATTTGAACTCACTTCGGTCTGAGCCCGCGTGTGGGAGCAGCTACTGTGTCATACTGACACCTGTCCATATTCTTCCTTTTTTTTTTTTAAGATTTATTTATTTGAGAGAGAGAGAGTGGAGAGATCCACTCCTACGTGGCAGAAAAAAGACCCGCTTCTATCTGGTCTCTTGGTCCACTCAAGACCGTGAGCAACACGAGGACAGGGACTGGACCTGACTTTCTAGAGACCGTATCCCCAGTGGGGTTTGGGCACACAGCAGATGTTCAGAATTTGCGGAGTGATGAGGGACGAAGGCCCTGGGGAGCTGTCCTATCGAAGGAAGGTGAGCCTCAGAGACACAGAAGCTAAAAGCCAGACTCCCCCGTGCACTATGGGGGCGGCAGCGGGGCCCCACGATACTCACCTGGGAGAGGTGTTCCATTGGCCATGAGGGTCAACTGGTCAGCGATGGCTTTGGTTCGTGAGTAGTGGTCCACGTGCTGCCAGAGGAAGGGAGAAGGGAGCCACCAGGCAGGGGTCAGCGACCCTGCTGGGGAGGCCTGCCCAGCCTACCTGGCACTAGGCCTGCCCCTCTGCTTCAGACCACACAGGGGTCGGATTCTGGGGACCCCCCCTGGGAAATGGCCAAGGCCTAAGCCCCTGTGCCTGGGAAATGGCCAAGGCCTAAGCCCCCGTGCCTTTCTTTTCCCCCTGGGGTGGGAGCGACAGGAGCAGAGCTCAGAGTAGTGACAACAACCAGGGTCCCTCTACTCAGGGAGGCTCTTGCAGGCCCCCAGGGCTTGCTTTGGGATGCGGATGCCGCACGTGGGCTGGATGGACTATTTCCAGGTGGTTCTTTAGTGTCCATGGCTTTTTCACATACATCATCTCATTTCCTGCTCGCCACACACCCACAGGGTGGAGTGGTCACGCCCGGATGAAGAAACAGCGGCTCAGAGTAAAGTGACTTGTGCAGAGTCCCACAGGTAGAACATGGCCGGGCTGGCTCAAGGCCAGGTCTGTGTGATTGCAAACCCCCTGCTGGCATGACCAGCTGAAATAGGAGAAGGCTTGTGCTACTCAGTTTTGGGGACCCCTTCTTCATGGGACTCACCATGAATCGTGAGGTTGACCCCGGTTTTCACCCATCCCTGCCCTGCAGGCTGTGCGTCCCAGGCCCAGTGGCCCCGCCCACCTCTCCTGGAAGCCACGTACCTTCTCCAGTGGGAAATATGGCACAGAGTCCTCATCACCCTCTTCTATGGGCTTCCCGCCGAACACAACATTGACCGTGCTGGTGTAGATGAGCCTTGGGACCCGCCGACGGACACAGACTGCAGTGACAGGGGCACACACAGCAACACACGCGCGCGGACACGCACACGCACACACACGTGGCCAGCATGAGCGGGAGTTGGCTGAGGAGGTGCCCACTGGGACCCAGTCTTGGACACACATCCTGGCCCCTGGCCCAGAATCTAGAGATGCTCAGGAGGGAAGGGGGTTGGGTCAATCCCTGCTCTGTGGGGCCCTGGGGGCCAGGCTGGCTCACTCCTCCTCAGTATGGCCATGGCCCCTGAGCTACCTTGCAGGGGACCAGTCAGAAGAAAGTCTCACTCGATGGGGACACAGAAAAAAAGACACTCTAGAATCAGAGAGAAAAACAGGATGCCGCATGCCCAGAGAACTCGGATGTGGGTCTTGTATTTCAGTGACTTTTCTAACCCTTAATCCCTGAAATGCAAACCCTGCGCTGCCCGTGTCCCCAGACAGGCTGTGGCCACACTGACCCACCCCACATGGGGGCCCGGGCAGGTCCGCAGTACAGTTAGGATGTGCTGCCCACAGGCCCTCTGCTGGGGTGGGCAGGGGGAGGGGAGGAGGATCCCACCTCTCTTCCCCTCCCCTGTCCCCAGAGCTGGGCCTGTGGCAGGAAAGGGGACAGAAGCAGGAAACACACAGCAGGTCACACTGAGCTCTGAGAGCCTACCATTGATCACTAGTTTGGTGCCTCCAACATTTATAGACTCAATCTGCTCTTTTTGCAGCTAAAAGACAAGAGGGAGTTGGGAAAGTGGTGGTGCTGCTCAGACCTCGTCGAGGAGCCACTGAGGCCGTAAGGTGGGCTTAGGGTGGGGCCGGGCGGGGGCCGCAGGACGTCTGGCTCGGCAGCAGGGATCTGAGTGCAGGAGCCCTGGGCCCCGGTGCCCAGCTCTGCCACAGTCTCCCGGGGCAGCCAGCAGAGGTTCCATCCCGTGCCTGGCCCTCAGCTCCCTCGTCTGTAAAGTGATGGCAGACCCCCTCGAGTGGTCGGCAGGATTGAATACACCCGTGGCAGGACCGGGTACAGTGTGTGACACAGAAAAGGGACCCAAAATGTGTTGGATCATTTCCTCACTCTGGCAGTCTGGGTTTCCTTAGCTGTCAGACAGACAGGGTAACACTGTTCATGCTCTAGCGAGGTTGTGTCTACACAGAGAGACCTGCTTGTGTTTCCTGGGACAGGGTGAGGCCTTTACATCTCACTTAATTCTCACAACCAACCAGGAGGTGGGTTCTGTCTCAATTTTTAAACTATATTTATTCTCATTGCAGTTTTTTTTTTTAATAGGTAATACAATTGCAAAGTTAAACATAACTCAAATAGGGGCGCCTGGGTGGCTCAGTCGGTTAGGTGACCTTTTTTTTTTTTTTTTTAAAGATTTTATTTATTTGACAGAGAGAGAGACAGCGAGAGAGGGAACACAAGCAGGGGGAGTGGGAGAGGGAGAAGCAGCCTTCCTGCCGAGCAGGGAGCTCGATGCAGGGTTTGACCCCAGGACCCTGGGGTCATGACCTGAGCCGAAGGCAGACACTTAACAACTGAGCCACCCAGGCGCCCCAAGGCGACCGACTCTTGATTTCAGCTCAGGTCATGATCTCAGGGTCGTGGGATCGAGCCCTCTATTGGGCTCCAGTCTCAGTGCCACGTCTGCTTGAGATTCTCTCTCTCTCCCTCTCCCTCTGCCTTTCCCCCTCACCCTCTCTCAATAAATAACATACTAAAAAATATATTAAATAAAAAAATAGAATATTAAAAAAAAGGTAAACAGGGTATACACCCAGTACACTCTCAAACAGTAAAAAGGGTGTACAGGCAAAAGAAAATTTCCTTCCCACTCCTGATTCCCTGCCTTCCCTCCCACCCCCCCCACAGAGGCAACCACCTTTACTGTTACAGTCCATGTATTTCTAGACATAATCTATACTTATTAATATCAGCACATACACATGTGTGAGCATATAAATATTTATCCTAGCTGCCACTGCTGCTGCTGCTGCTGCTTCTTCTTTTTTTTACAAACAGGATATCAAACACTGTTTTTGCACCATGGAAATTATTCTATTATCAGCACATACTGACTGACTTCATTCATTTGAATGGCTGCATAGAATTTCAATGGATACCTTACAATTTATTTAAGTAGTCCTTAACTGATGGGCATAGTAACTGACGTTACTTCCTGTGTTTTGTTGTTATGAACAATGCTGCAAATATAAGCACAGTGTGATTTCGGAGCCTAAGGGTATCTGTATGTTTTGACAGGTACCCTCACACTGAGGAGGTTCTGACGTGAATACTAGTACAAGTGAGGAAACAGAGGCTCAGAGAGGTTAAGTTAACTCGCCCTAGGTCCCACAGCTAGAAAGCAACAGAACTGGCATTTGGTCCCACGGATGCAAAACGCAGACTGGTTATCATGTAAATCCTTCCTGGATTAGGTGAAGGGCGATAATGAATACACGGCATGAAGCGGGGTGTGTGGGCAGAACCAGGATCTGAACCCTGCTCTGTCTAACTCCAGGTGTTGTATGTGGGGGGCTCACCTTCTCAGCACCGGACATTCCATAGGATGCCACGTGGAAGACACAGTCCACCCCTTCGAAGGCACGATACAGGGCTTCTTCATCACGGACATCCGCCTGAAACAGAGAAGGAAGAGATGGAGACAGGAGGCTTGGGTCCAAGGCAGAGATACCAACTGTGTACCTTGCCATGTCCCAGAGCTGGTCCTCTGACTGCACCCTGGCCAAGCACCTGTAGGAGAAGCTGTGGGGCAAGAGTTACCATATGATTCTACAGGGCCTCTTTGGCTTCATCATCACCACCGGCCCCATTTATCAAGCTAAGTTGCAGGGGCTGTGCTTGCTGTTTTTACGCACGCTGTCTCACTGACTCCCCATAAGACCCTTGTGAAGTCTTCTTTCCTGGATGAGGACATGGAAACTCAGAGATGTGGAGCCTTGTGGCCATGGCTGCCTGGCGGGGAAGGGGTCAAAGCTTAAATAGTCCCACTCCAAGAGCCTGTGCTCTTCACTGGTTTCACATCAGACGCTGTCCCCACACCTCCACCGCCAGCCTGGGCTGGTCCCCACACCTCCACCACCAGAGCCCCCCAAGACACTCATCACTGCACCTGGATGAACTCGGTCCCCGGGGACAGCTCCCACTGTGGTCTGCGGAGGTCGAGCAGTAGGACAGAACTGCCACTCTTGGCCAGGCTGGAACCCAGGCTAAAGCCCAGATAGCCTCCTCCTCCAGTCACCAGAACCTTCTGCTGAGGGGCCTGCCTGTGTGTGGCCTGAGTCTTCTGCTGTGGTGCTGATGTGGGGGCTGTCTCTGGCTCACTGGGTTTGGGCCCAGTTCCAGACCCCCATCTGGGCCTAAGCTCTACCCCTGGCCCAGGTAATGGTGCAGCTCCTGGCCTAGGTACCGGCCCAGGGACTGACCCAGCTCCTGACCCAGGCCCCAGACCCGGCCCAGGTCCTAAAGCAGCACCAGGCCCTGGCCTATGTCCAGACACAGCACCAGGCCCTGGTCCAGGTCCTGAAGCAGCAACAAGCCCTGGTCCAGGTTCTAGAAACACACCAGGACCCGGCCTAGGTCTGGACCCAGCACCAGGCCCTGATCCAGGTTCTAGAACCACACCGGGCCCTGGCCCAGGTCTGGACACAGCACCAAGCCCCAGCCCCGGCCCCAGAACTGTAGTAGGCCCTGGTCCAGGTCCTGAAACTACACCCAGCCCAGGCCCAGGCCCTGACTCAGACCCCAGGCCTGAGACTCCTCCCCAAGCCTGGCAAACAGGGCAGCTCTTCTCGCCCCGGCCTACAGCTGTGCAGGCCTCTGAGGAGGAGCCTGCTGGGTTGGGCTTCATCCTCTACTGAACCATGCAGACCAATGGATCTGTCCACCTGTAGAGAAAAACAAAAGAAAGAACATTCTAGAGTTGTCTCAAGTCATGTGGATTATCAGACTAAGGAGAATTCCTGGTGAGGGTTAGAGATGCTCTGACTTCCCTGTGAACCTGTCCCTTGCAGAATTTTGAGAACTTTCAAGGTAGCTGCTGCCTCCCTCGCAGAGTCAGAGACAAAGGCAGTCAGGCCTTGGGTTTTACGGCTTTGGAAACTGAGGCCCAAAGTCACACTGCATAGCTGAGGTTTATACCAAGCATTCCTGATTTCTCTTCCAGTTCCTTAAAATCCGAGTTCCCGTGTAGTACCAGAGGAAGACAGATCAAATCAGGCCCAGGGGAACCCTACCAGACTGGGAGGTGACTGCTTTCTGACTGGGAAGATGGGGAGGGCTGCCTGGAGAAAGAGGTAGAAGGAAGAGGAAGGAGGGGAGGACGGAGAGGAGAGAAGGAGAGAGAAATGGAGGAGATGAGGAGGAGGGATCCGCGTGGGATCCACAAGGGCTCTGTGCTTGGAACCCCGCACGTGATTCCGAGGGCCGCACCGCCTCTACCCCGACACCTGCAGCCTCTGGTTCTCCCAGGGCCCCCCCACCTGCGCAGGTGGCTGGCAGTACAGATCTGTCCAGGCCTTCTGCTGGCTTCAGGGTCAGGTGCGTGAACCCTGGGGTCCAGGACCAAGGGTCCTGCTGTCCTCACTCCAGACTTCAAATGAGCCAGGCTGTCAGTCACTGTCACCACCATCATCCCACCCCACTTCCTGCTCCACCTGAAGACAAGGCGTCCACCAGGGGTCAGATGATCATCATTATCATCATTAATCGTGGCAGCAACCATGACTGGTGGGCCAGCCATTTGCCAGGCCCTGCGGATACAGAGATGGTGTCTCTGCCCTGCATGATGCCTACTGGCTGTAGAAAAGAATGGGCACTGAGTGACTGAGTGATGAGCCCCGTGGTTGTTGCTGGTGGTGTCATGGGGCAGGGACCCTGACAGCTATAGGGGCTGTATCTTTCAGTCTCCGTTGTCACTGCCCTGCACTCCAAAGTTCCAGGTGAGGGACCCGGTTAAACCCCGCACAAACACTGGCACTCATGGGTTTAACAGAGGGGAGACACCCCAAATCTGAGTCATCACAGGGGATGAGTGTAATTCCCCTGTAGGGAGGGGAGAGGATGCAGCCCCACAGTGGAGCCTTTCTCTACCCAGGACTCTGTTCCGGGGACTGGTCTCTGGGACCAGAACCATCTTGCTAGCCTATGGGGATGCTTCTTTTTGTGATGAAGACTGGGTGTGCCCTTAGGCAAAACCCTTAAAACCTCACTGCGCCTCGGTATCCACAGCTGTAAAATGGACCCAAATAACCCTGGTGTTCCATCTGCCTCAGGGGGTGGTCATGAAAGACCAGATGCCAGAGCCCTTGGCAAAGCACCGGAAAGCGTGCTCCAGGAGGGCCTTGTTCACTGCAGTGCCCCCAGCACCTGCACCAGCGCTGGGCCGAGCAGGTGGTGAGTAACAGCTGACTGCATGAATCCACTAAGAGCTCTTCTGCATCTGGGAGCGCAGCGGCGGCACTGAATTCTCCTGGCAGTCCTGAGCATGAGGCTACTGTTCCCATCACTCAGAGCTGGAAACTGAGGCTCAGAGAACATTCGCGAACTTTGATGGGATCTCAATAAATGGGTCGGCCTGGATCCAGGTCACTGGGGACCGAAAGTAGGGTTTGGTGAAGGGAACTGGGGGTCGGGCGTCAGGTACCCACTCCGGCCGCATCGACCTCACAGGGACGGGCAGGAGAGGGTGCCCCCGACTCTGAGAGCAGCCCCGGCCCCGGCACCTCCGGGCGTGTCCTCCGGGGACCCCACCCACCGCGCCCCCTGCCCACGGAGCCCCCGCAGCCCCCCGCAGCCCCCGCAGCCCCCTGCAGCCCCCGCTGCACTCACCCGGCCCGGCTCCAGCGGCGCTGCGTGCTCTCGGCGGCGCTGCGCCCACGGTCTCCGCGCTGCCCGGCGGCCGCCTCCCGGGGCGGGGCCGGGCTGGGCTCCGGCCCGGGACCGCCCCCGCCCCCGCCCGCGCCCCGCCCGCGCCCCGCGCCCGCCCCTCCCTCGCCTCCGGCGTTATTTGCGGCGGCGGCCGCAGGCTCTCACAGCGGGGAAACTGAGGCCGGTTGAACAGAGAGGGGGTGCAATGGGTCTAGCTGCGGGTGGGGAGAGGACAAAAAGCCCCTGCGGGCCGGGCCTATCCTGCCGCACAGTGGTCCTCGAACCTCAAAAAACAATGTTTGTTTCTTGACCCCCTTCCCCATCTGTCTGTTCCCCCACACGTTCCTCTCTGGGCAGCCTGACGCTTCCTGCCTTCCCGCCCCTCTTCCTCGGCCACCTATTCATCACCCCACCTATTTTTCCATCCGCGTCTTTGACTATTCATCCATTTCCCCACATATTTTGTGTGTGTGTCCGTTCATCCGTTCGTCTCTCCATCTGTCATTCTGTCTTTCCACCTATCCATCCAGCCTTCCATGCATCCAGTTCATTCCATGTATCTTTCTTGCCTCCCATGCACCAATCTGTCTTCCTTCCTTTCTTGTATTCTCCCGCCCATCTCTGGGTACATCCGTGCTCTGATGCGGTTATCCCACGTTTAATGGGGGCTTCTTCAGTGCTGGCCTTTCCCTTGCGCTGGGGCCCTGCTGGATCACACCTTCCCTGGAGAAGCCATTAGCAGGTGGCATGCGGCCCACAGCTGGTCTGCTATAGAGGCGCTCTGAGGACTGACTCTGAGCCGGGAACACAGAGGCCTGGTCACTTCGGTCTGAAGAGGCTACTGGAAGGGCTTCACCCTTTGGAGCCTCCTCCGTGAGCATAGGTGGGTGTGGGGAAGAGAAAAGAAACTCTTAGCCAGTACATGCTATGTGCCTGGTGATAAGGTATCTTGCTGAATCCTCACAACTCTGTTTTGGCCCAGTTTTAGAGGTGGGGAAACAGGTTCAGAGAGATGAAAAGAGGCTTGGAGTGTGGTGGGAAAAGGCCGTGGGGGTCAGCCCTGGCTGTATATCTTCACTTTGCCACTTTCTTGCTGTGTGTTTCTGGGCAGCTGCGAGGCTCCACATCCTCATCCGAAAGTTGGAAATGGCATGTGCTTTACAGCTGGGACGTGGTTATATGCGAAGAGTATGGTGCCTGTCCAGTCAGTGCTCAGCCTATGGCAGGTGTTATCATTATAGGAGAGGTTGGGATTCAAACCCAGGTCCTGTGCTTCATCACTTCCCAAACCATGTCCAGACCACGTCCGTCACTCCATTCCCAGAGACCAGCCCCTCCTCTCCCACCAGCCGGGCCTCGGGACTCATATCCCCGCCAGTCCTGCAGCTGCTGTTGTCCTGCCAAGGACGATAGTTTCCAACACCATAGTTATAAGTTGAATTGTGTACCTGCCCCATCCCCCCATTCACATGTTGAAATCCTCACCCCCAGTACCTCCGAGTGTGATCTTGGAAATAGAGTCATTGCAGACATTGCAGTCATTAAAGATAAGGTGATAGAAAGCAGGCCCTAGTCCAATACGACCAGTGTCCTTATGGAAGTGGGAAATTTGGACACAGACGTGCACGCAGAGAGAGCATCATGTGAAGATCAGAGTTACGCCGCCACAAGCCAAGGAACTTCAAGGAACCAGGAGGGAGGCCTGTCACAGATCCTCCCGAGTGCCTTCAGAGAGAGCCCGGCAATGGCGGGACCTTGATCTCAGACTTCCAGCCTCCTCAACTGAAGACAGTCCGTTCCTGTTTCAGCCGCTCCGTGTGTGGTGCTTTGTTATGACAACACCAGCAAAGCAATAAAGCAAACACCAGAGGCCATTTTCTCTGTCTGTGGAGGTGATGCGGAAGGGCAGCTACCCAAGGCAGTGACCAGACCGAGATCCACTGAGCAGGGGCTGTGGTCCCTGCCGCCTCTCTGGGCCCAGCATAGAGCCTGGCCAAAGCCGGGGCTTGTCAAGCCTCAGGGAACTGTGGTTTGTTTGTTTATTTGTTTTTTAACAATTGATGAATTTTTACTTCCTAGATGAAGATCTAGAACATTTCCAGCACTCCAGATGTCCTCAGTATGCCCTTTACCAAGGTAACCACTGTTCTGACTTCTATTGCCAACAAGAGTTTTGAACGTGATATAAATGGAATTACACACTATGTACTCTTCTTTAGCCTGACATTGTTCCTAAGATTGAGGCATCTTGCTGAATGTAGTTGTAGCTCATTTTTTTAAATTGACAGCATAGAAATGTACACAGTACAAATGTCTCATTAATGTATCAGACTGTACAAATGTATCACAATGTATTTGTCCATTCTAGCATTGGTGGATTATCTAGGTTGTTTCCAATTTTTAGCTCTGATGAATAAAGCTGCTATAAACATTCTCCTATATATCTCTTATGGAACATATGCACCTGTTTGTCTTGGAGTGGAATTGCTGGGTCATAGAGTAGGCATACCTTTTCCTTCAGCAAAAGTTGTCACACAGTTTTGCAAAGTGGTTGAACCAATTTACACGCCCCCCCCCCCCCCGCAGTGCATGAGAGTTCTAGTTGCTCCGTATCTTGATATTGTCAATCTTTTTACTTTGTGCCATGCTGGGCATGCCGTGGTATATCACTGTGGCTTGAATCTGCATGTCACTGATGGGTAAGGCTGTTGAGCACCTTTTCATATACCTATTGTCCATTTGTACCTGTTTGAGTGTTTTGTCCATTTAAAAGAATTAAGATATTTATCTTTTTCTTATTATCTTATTATCTATTTCTTATCTTTTTCTTATAAAGATATTTATCTTATTTCTTATATGAAGAACTTTTAGAGTTCTTTATATTTTATGCATATGAATCTTTTTTATCTTTTTTTAAAGATTTTATTTATTTATTTGTGAGAGATAAAGAGAGATAGTGAGAGAGAGCATGAGCAGGGAGGA